CTCAGGTCATGATCCCAGGGTCCTGGGATCGAGTCCCGCATCGGGCTCCCTGCTCCTTGGGAGCCTGCTTCTCCCTCTGCCTCTCTCTGTCTCTCTCTGTCTCTCATGAATAACTAAATAAAATCTTAAAAAAAACAAAAAAAAAACCACCACTCTGCTGAGTCAGTTTAAGGAACTGGAAGGTTTACTTCTACCGAAACCTTGACATGCCACCTACAAGTGATAACCTCTTAGATGTTGGCTTCAAAAATAAAGTTTTCCAAAGATACCAGCAGGGTGCTTGAAAAGTATAAATACTGTGTTTAAAAGTGCAGTTAGCCTTGGACCCAGAGATGTCACTCCTGAGAATTTATCCCAGAATTGCACCTGCGCGTATATGAATGACGTACGTCCAAGGTCCAAAAGATGCAAATACCCTGCAGCATCGCTGGGAATAGCAAGAGGCTGGAAAGACCCTCATGTCTACAGACAAGGCACTGGTCAAACAAACTCTGGGGGAGGCCGGGAAGCTGGAAGGGAAAAGTGTTCTGTGGACTGTCGTTGGAAAGGTTTCCAAGAGAGTTCACCACATGAGTAAAGCCAAGTTGCTATACTATTTCATATGGCTTTTTAAAAGGGAGAAATGAGACCACGCCGATATATATTTGTATGACCGAGGGTTTATTTCTTTGTTTGCTTTTTAAGACTCTGTCACAGACCCCAAATGGAAGAGGAAATGGATTTGGAGCATGTGCAGTGAACAGTAGGGATCAGCAAACGACGGCCCTTCCCTATTTTTGTAAATAAAGTTTTATTGGAACACAAGTCCATTTGCTCACATACTGTCTATGGCCGCTTTCATGCTGTAACAGTAGAGCTGAGTGGTCGTCATGCAGAGCCTGAGATATTTACTGTTGGGCTCCTTACAGAAAACATCTGCAGACCCCCAGGGCAGGATGGTAACAAGGAGTCTGCAGCTTCCCCTGGGCATGGCTTCTAATCCTCCTTGTGCCACTGATCTGAATGAACTTGGGTCATTCCCTTCTCATCACAGACCACTGTCTGCATCTGCAAAATGGGGCTAGAGGAGGTGGCCTCACACATTCGTAATGAAAAGTCCACGAAATAATGGACCTAAGACACAGCAGCCACATGCCGAGTCATCAAAGAACCAAAGGAAGAGGCCGTTCACCAAAGGCAGCTCGCCTGGGTTTGGCTCCATGCCTCACACTTTGTAACTATGTGACGGAGGACAAATGAACTTCCCGAGACTCCCCTTTCCCTTCTGTAAAATGGGAAGGATCATAGAACCTAGCATCTAGCCAATCGCAGTCTCATCCTGTCGGTTAGCCCGAGATAACCATGAAATACAGCCCAGTGCCAGGCATGCGAGACGGACTTCGTGCATGTTAATTATTCTTTTTGAAAGCCTTTAGTTGGTCTTAGCATAATTTCACTTTTGAGCTTGAGCCTGAGCCTTGTATTTTTTAAAAGATGTATCCTCACACGCAGTTATACCCTCAGTAAGGAGGAGGAGGTGAAGGTAGTTTAGAATGCAACGTCAACTGCGCAATCGTAAAGGCTCTTCCAGCCCAGGATGGACCGTGCCGGCCCAAGCTGGAGGACACAGGCTGCCGTTTCCAACAGGGAGGCCTCCTTGACATGAAACGTTTGACTCCAAGGACAAGGTACCCCTGGTCACTAGGAAGCAGCGGACACGTGCCAAGTGTGTATGCATGCGTGCGTGCACACACGTGTGTGTTTGTATTATACACCCACGGATGCCCACGTACGAGCGTGCATGTGCGGGGAGGTAGCCAGGAGTGTCTCCACTCACCTCCCCTTTCTCCACCAAAGGCTTCACCTCGGCGAGGTCCACGTCCTGCAGCTCCCGAGACATGTCCCTGCTGTCACCTGCCTGCAAAGGAACAAAGCTGTGGGTCAGCACTTCCTGCTGAGAGATGTTGCCCAAAGGAAGCGAATCCGAGGCCAGGGAATGAGCCCCACTCTGCCCGGCGGCTATTACCTCCCACACAGCACATGACGGTCGCAGGCCCCCCAGCCCACCGCCCCATGCCACTCCGGCATCGGGGGGCGAGGAGGGAGATTTCCTGGAACAGGAAACCAAGGCTCAGGAATACAACTACCTTTCTGATGAAACAGACAGATTGGGATTCAAATCCAGCTCCTCACACGCAGGGCCCAGGCCCAACCGCCACACCCAGGACGTTTCTCGTGGCGTTTTTTGGCACGCAATATGACATTCATTTCAGGAGAGTGACTGGATATTTTCATACATTATGAAATGATCACGACGGCAGCATCGTTGACTACAGCGCCTATGTTGCTCTCGAAAATGTAGGCAGTTAGCTCTTCGATGTTGGTCTAAGTGGTATGTTGGGGTGTCTCCGCAGGCGAGGGCAACAAAAGCAAAAATTCACAACTAGGACTACATCTTGTTGCATTTTAGGAGACACACATCACTGATCCTGAAGTCAGGCAGCCCCCAGGCTGACAACCAAAAGGGGATGGAGACTCATAGGAGGCTCCCCGTATGCAGGCTGGGCACGAGCTTCATCCCCCTTCATCCACGAAGTAGTCCTAACAGGGGTCTGGACCACACAGACACCACCATGCCCACCGGTGTGCAGGGCTCTCTGCTACCTGCTGGCGATGACAGGGCCAGGCCAGGGAACACCTCAAGCTCAAGGGGCCTACAGGACTCAACATTCAGAGGGATTTTGAAAGAAAAAGGGCTTTCAAGGCAGCAGGGGGTGGGTAAGAGGGTGTGGCAGAGCAAGGTCTGGGAGGCAGAGGGTGAGGGGATGGAAGGTTAGAGTGGGGATGGGGAAGCAGGATGGGGCGAGCAGGCGTAGGGTGAGAGGGCAGGGGGAAGGGAAGGCGATGCGAGCAGGGGGTCAGGGGTGAGGAGGATAAAGGGCGAAAGCAGGGATGGGGAAGTAGGATGGGGGGCAGGAGTGGGAGAGCAGGTGTGGGGTGAGGGGGCAGAGGGAGGGTGTGAGAGCAAGGGTTGGTGGGAGGGGGCAGAGATGAGGAGGATGGAAGTTGAGAGCAGTGATGGGCAAGCAGGATGGGAGAGCAGGGTTGGGGGGCAGGGGAAGGGGGGTGAGAACAGGATGGGGGAAGCAGGATGGGAAGCAGGGCTGGGTGAGCAGAGTGGGCCAGAGTAGGTCCTGCTTGGCTCTAACAGGGGCAGGTGCAAAAGGATCAGGAGGTGACCCCTGCAGAGCTTGGCAGGAGCAGTTCTGGACACAGTCAGCTCCGCAGGGAGCAAGCTCCGGGCAGTGACATGCACTGAGCCTACTTCTGGGAACTCTGGAAGCAGGCATTGTAAGCATTTATTCTTAGAACCTGATAATCAAGCTAGAAGAATGAAGTGCCCACCAACACCAGAGTGAGGCGCGAAGAACCCAGAAGGTGGGTTAAGTGCTGCGGGCAGAGGTGGCAGAAGGCGGGAGAAGGTGGGAGAAGCAGCAAGCGGTAGAGGGGAGTAGGGGACCCCCAGGTCGTAGACGCAGACCTTCAGAATCAGGAAATTTGGAGAAACACAGCCTGACTAAACCCCTCACACCGCTACTTTCCAGGGTGGGACCCTGGCCCCGAGTTGCCCAACACTCAAAAGAGAGAAGGGCCAGAGAGCGAAAGCCTATTGAAATTCCAGCCCGGGGCTCCTCTGAAGACCCAGATCTTAGAACCCTTGAGAATCCGCATCGTGAAGCGCCTCTGAGAGGCCTGCTGGCAACAGAGCCGGGGCCACCCTGCACCCACCCCCTGTGCCAACACATGGCATTCTGTGGGCAGGTCCCCTGGGATGCTCTGGTCTGGGGCCCCGGCACGATTCTCCCCAGTAGATAGCCAACCCCACAAGAATGCCTTTATGCAGCCTTTGGAGTCTATGCTCGAGAACATTCTGAAAACAAAGTCGGTTTTCTATTTGTGAGCATTCCTGGGTAGCTGCCAGCTCGGAGGCAGGAGGCATGAAAAGCAGAGGTCTGTCGGCCTTGCTAATTCAGCATGTTCATGGTCCCGAGACCCTGGCCCGTGGGACACCTCGCCTACACAGCCTAAGGAGCCTTCCAGAAGCCCAGGGCTCTGGCAACGCCACCCTTCACGCTGACTGTAAGGGCTTCCCATTCCAGGGGCTCCTACACCGAGGGCAGCCCCACCTGCGGACTCCCCAGGACAGGGAGCCTACCTGTCTTGTTCCCACAGTCGGACCACAACTTGCCTGCTGAATACGTAACAGGTTTGATGCAGCTTAATAGCGATGTCTGTGTTTAAATTCACTCTTAAATCATCACTACACCATAAGAGTGAAAGGACTTCAAACAAGTCTACATGTGCACAGACTCAAGCGCGCACGGGACTTCAGCCCAGTGTGGTTCGTGGCTTCCCGACGCCGGGATCACATCAGAATCTAAGCCTCCAGCAGCTCCCTCATTCTCCTTCAGAACAGAGAAGAGACTGATCTCAGCCTTCACGGGTTCCTAAACGTGCTCCTGGGGAAGCCTCTTTGCCCCCACCCCTCCTTGTCCGTCCTACAACTCAGCTTCCCAGCCCACACGAGGCAGCAGGTCGAAAACTGGCCAGTCTCTCTTAAATACCAAATGCTTGAGAATCACTGCTTTTTTTGGAGCCCTTGGGGGCCATGGGGAGGCTCAGTGAGGCCACCAAGAACCATCACAGTGATTCTCCAAACGGGTGATTCTGTCCCCCAGAGGACATGTAGCAATGTCTGAAGATGTTTTCGATGGCCATGACTGGGAGACGCTGCTGGTATCTCGTGGGTGGGGGTCAGGCACACTGCTCATCATCCTACACTGCACAGGACGGCCCCGCAGCACAATTATCTGGCCTCAGCTATTAATAGCACCCTGGTTTAGACCAAGAAACATCCATAAGGGCTCTGGGACTCTTGAGATCTGCAGGGAGATTGGATAAAGCAGAGGAAGCTTCTGTACTACGTGTCCCCGGGGAGAGTGGAGTTGCTGTGGGTCCAGGGCAGCCTGTGGCTAATAAATGCAAACTTTCCGGGGCACCTCCATGTGGGTCACTGCCCTGCACTAACCAAGGCGGCCCAAACCCGGGCTGCCGAGGTGCTCTCTGCACCTTGAGCACCCCCACTGGCCCCGACCACTGGTGCTCAGACTGCCAGGGGCAGGAAGACAGCTGACTGCTTCCAACCCAATTCTGCTGATGGGCCAGCCCTTGCCCTGTTCTCCTTTGCTTGAATCAGAAAACCTTGCACACTTTTATTTTAGAACCTGTTTGTCTAAAAGAAATCTTGTAAGGAAACTCAATAAAGAAAAACAGACTTACGGGGGGAAAAAAAAAAAGCCGGTGTGCTTTGGGTGACTCCAGGGAAAGGGCCCGGCAGCTCCCAGCAGCCCCCACCATGGGCCCCCACTGCCCCATGCCTCCATGCCCACCCTCAAACACCTTCTGAGTCCCAGGATAGCAGGCTTTGAAACAGTGATTCATTCAGAGATTACTTCCTGTACTAGGTGCTCGTGAGCCCAGCACGAAGCAAAGTGTGACAGTCCTCTCCTAACAGTTTTGCTCACAAGACCCTACTACGTGACGAGTCCAGGGCACGGTCATGGACAGACAGAGCTTTGGCCCACCGAGCTCGCAGTTCTGCACACCCACTAGGCCGTCGTGGCTGCCCATCTCCACACAAGGCCATGCTCTCCTGGACTCACGGGGTCCCACACCCCCCCCAACCACCACCGCCGCCATCATCCTTTTACCAAGGAGGAGGCTGCAGCCCCAGGGGCAGAGGGACCGGCCTGAAATGGCACAGAGCCAGCCGCAGATGGAGTGGCCGGGATGGAGAGGCCTCTGATGCTCTCACAATTACTGCTTCACCACATTTTTCCTTAAAAAGTTTTTTTCTACGGGCTTCAAATCCACAGCAACAAGGCCCTATGGCCCATTTCAAGGAAGCAGGCGATTTCCTTCGCCAGGAGGGAGGCATGGGTGGGGGGTGACCTGGTTTGGCGTGCTCTGGCTGGTGCCCCTGCCCCGCCCCCCCACCAGGCACCACTTGCCACGCAGGGCCCACACTCAGGGGTCACTCCTTTCAGGCTACCCAAGGTCCCGCTTGGCTCAGCAGGTTCCCTCCCTGGGCTTGAGACCGAATGCTGAATGCCGGTCCCTGCCCCTCTCCCCCACCTCCTGGAAAGTCCCAATGCAGAACGT